GTGTTCACAAAAACTAAATAAAACCTAAAGCTTGAAAAATCAAGCAATAAAGGATTTAAATGAAATTTGACCAAAGCTTGTCTGTACTTACCCATCACTAGTTGTGTCAGCGACTTCGTCCGCGTAGAATAGTTATTTTAGGAAACCCTTAAACTTTATAAACTAAAGTGTGACCCCACGACGTCGGTCGCGTCCCCTCCCGTCGTTCTTGCAAGTTAATCTTAAAGGATAGACATATAGCGTCGCGTACTTTTTTTTAGATCCTTGAAAGAGGAATCATTCTTTTATACAAATTTTTTTGGTATCTTGAAGCGTTTTTTCTGCGTACGCTTCGGAAACCCATAAAGCCTTCGACGATAATTTTTTCAATTCGAACCCGTAGTTCCTGAGATTAGCGCGTTCAAACAAATAGAGTCTTCATCTTTGTATATTAGTATAGATTAAAAAAAATATATATTCGATGATTCGATTCACTTTTGCGTGTTAATGTTGTGTAAAGCTTCATTATTATTCAGTTATTATCGCGAGCCGTGCAAGGGTTAAAATACAATCAAAAAGTAAAACTGTGCAACTAAAAAAAAAATTCCAATTTTCGACTGGTGAGTTTTTATTATCCGCAGACGCATTGCAAATCAACGCTATAAAAAACATTTTCGGGTTTTACGTACGTTTATTCCGAGTTATTTGCGTTAATGCGGTTTGAAAAGGGTTTGAAGTATCATTGATGAAGGGTAAATTAGACAATTTTAAACTGTTATAAACGCGAATTTTAAGGCCAGACTTAACACGGACTGATCTATTTAGATTTTTCTACGTTTAAACCTGTTTAATCAAATTCTGTCTATAGTTTACGCGAGTAGTACACATTTAAATAAAACACTTTAACGGTTTAAAACGCGATATATTAGTTGCTGCTGCCAAGCATCCGAAACGTCGGGCCGAAGTTAAAAATCGTTTTCAAATAAGTTTAACTAATATGTCGCGTTTTAAACCGTTAAAGTGTTTTATTTAAATGTGTTCTCCTTGCGTAAACTACAGACAGTATTTACGTCCATCTTTTTATTATTTTTATTTATATTATCTATTGTTATATTTCATTATATTAAATCTGAATTATTTTGTAAGTAAATCTATTTTATGGCGTAAAAACAACATACAAAACTCTTCAATTTGCCGTTCCGCCCAATAAAATATACACAGGTACACTCCACGGCCGTGCAGCGCATCCATTAGAGAAATTATTCACTACAATACGCAATCAGCCATGTGCGAATGTTTTGCTGAAAATAGTACAGTTTTGTCCCAGCGCAGCGCCGCGGAACGCTGAATGGGCGTTTTAGCTGGGCCATTTTGACTATTACAGCATATTACACTGGGAATACATTTTTATAGATGCGCATTCTTGGAGTGCTTATAGGAAATTGACTTTACCGCGGGGTGGTGGGCGTGGAGCTCAAAAACAAATGCTAACATTTATTACAATTATTAAAAACCTATTTTAGAATGAACATTCAGAATAGATAGAACTTGCTCGAAATAAGAGATATTACGCATTCCTATAATGAAGGATCGACAGCCATCTATTATAATCTAATATAAAAAATTCTCGTATCAGTGTCAGTTACCTTACTCCGGAAAACCTCGAACGATTTTTATGGAATTTTATACGCATATTCACTGGATCTGATAACCGGTTACTATCTATATAAAACAGATGTATTTCCATCCATTTCTGTTTTTTTTTTAAATAAAATATAATTTAAAAATACATAGAAACCTAAATTTTCACACTTCTATTACAAACCCCTGCTTTTTCATTTACGTAAGTTCTTTGGTAAATTATTCCCCCCCAGAGGTCTACCGGTGTCACTTCTCGCCCAGTAAACAGTACGGAGTAGGCATGACAGCGAAGCCAGCCTCCTGTTTCTATCACACACATCCTCCTTCAACAGTTTACGGCCATTGTTAAAGTTTATACATCAAAATGTAATTAACACTACTACATAGTATAAAACAAAGTCGGTTTTTCTGACTACTGAACTACGCAACGTATTTTGTTGTTTTTTTAATAGACAGAGCGATTCAAGAGGAAGGTTTTTATATACAACGCTCAGAGTTTTTCTGTAGTGTATTTCGTATGAGCACTCGAGCGAAGCCGGGGCTGGTCGCTAGTAATATAATGCTTTGATGCATTATAATTTTACGCCATGAATTTCCCAAGAAATAATTTAAATAGCAAAACAAGGTTTGTCGGGTCAGCTAGTTTAAATATATATTTTCCAAAACGTGTTTTCGTGCTAATCTTATGAACGCCAATTATTTAAATGGCGCCGACCTCAAAAAGAAAGGGGAGAGTGCTTTTGTCGAAATTAATCAAAGTTTTGACATCTCCGATAAGGAAGCGTGACACTGTGGTTTCGAAGAAAATCAATTGCTTTTTTGTTCCCGCATTTTTCATTTCAATTTATCTATAACCAATCTTAGTAAATGCTAGGGTCTGTTATATTTAAGAACAATATGTGAAGCTACTGACCATATACGAGGGGAGAACCAGAACCATAAATAAACCAATACCGTGTTTGTTTTGTTCACACATCGGTAAAATACCGCCTGATAACATTTTAATAAGATGTGCTGTCGAACTTTTTTAATCTTCAAGGTTTTCTCATCTGTGGTCGTAATTTCGATATTTCTACTGTCCATTACACATTCAGATTTTCCAGATGAAGTCCAACATGTTTCGGAAAATTTATCAATTGATAAGAACCATGTGGCACTGTTCAACCAACGAGCCCATTTCAGTTAATTTGGGTAAGAAATAAGCACAGTATGCACAACAATTATTTTTTAATAAAACGCGATATATCAGTTTAAACCGTAAAAATGTTTTATTTAAATGTGTACTACTCGCATAAACTATAGACAGTATTCGACAAATCCTATCAAAATTTCAAGGTGTTTATAAAATATTGTCTAAAATTTTGAATATTGTCTAAAATGTTCGAACTTCTTAAAAAAATATTAATCATTAAAAAAATGCGACCGTAAGTTTTTCCTTCCTTTACAAAGCAGTCAATTTGCAGTTTTGTTTGATATCAAATAAAACCAATAAAAATATTGGCGTTATTACACGCACTAAGAAAAGAAACGCTTTAGGATATAAATATTTCACTCATAACATATACTTATTGTTTTTGAAGGGTAATTTAAAAATAATCTCTCAAGAACTTTACAATGCCTACATCAAACGTTCTACCTACATCACAATAGGTCTTAGATTCTTCGGCTTAAAAAGGGCACTTTCTTTTGTCTGTGGTATCGCATATTTCCAGTAGGTACAAGTGTTTGAAAGTCTTTGCATTTCAAAAGGTGCTTCTGAGCTCAGGCATACCCTCGATGGCGATATTTTTAGCGTTCAGCGACTTTTTATTTTTTGACAATCTTTAATAGTCGTATACTCTAATAGTAGTCATTTGAGATAGGTATGTTTTGAACAACGGATACCGCCTCTGTAGCCAAATGGTTAAACGTATTGCCTAGTATTGCGTTAACGCGAGATATCCTGGGTTCGAATCCGAGGGAGACATAAAATTGTTTCGGCCGGGTAGGGCACAGAAGTCTGATCAACTACTTGTCCGTTAAAAGAACGGATCTGTGAAACGGACACAGACATGTGTTCGCCCCATGCCTCACGAGGGGGGAACGAAAATGTTTTGAACAAAGTAATATCCCGTTTATTTAAAGCAGATCCTTACAAGCATGGGATTTGAATAAAATACTTCAATCGTTCATAACGCGATATATCCTATTAGTTAAAGTTATTTGAAGATTATTGTAAAATTTCTGCCAAGAACCGGCCAGTTTCACCAAATACCAACTTCGACGGAACAGATCGTGCTAACCTAGCAGTTTTTAACTTTGACGTCAGAGACACCCTGCATCTTTAGTCACCCGGTGACCATGGCTGCTGCAAAGCATCCGAAACGTCGGGCCGTACTTAAAATCATTTTAAACCGTTAAAGTGTTTTATTTAAATGTTTACTACTCGCGTAAACTACAGACAGTGTTAACGCATGGGATTCTTGATGTAAGGTAAAATATCCCAACTATATAATATCTTATTGACAGACGCCGTCGACCTATTTTGTCTATGTCTATTCGCGAATTAATTTATCAAGACTTTTCCACGGCTGAAAAGGAATTGCAAACGGGACTTTTCTTGGAAAAGCGTGACCTTTGACCATTTGAAACCAAATCAATCAGTTCCCTGTATGCCATTGGAACACCGAGTACGTCAAACATGGGACGTGGGGCATGGGACGAACTTCACTGACCTTATCAATAAGTAGGTCACCCGACCTTTGTTCGATCAAAGAGACATGACTTTCTTTTGTTCCGAACCTAGGACCTCTCGTGGTTATTGAAAACCTAGACAGTGCGTTTACAACTATGCAAACACAGGCGTGATTCTTAACAGTTTGACTTATTTAATAGTAACCATCAATGGTTATGATTTAAATTTTTTAATTTTTTTTACGAGTATTAAGTTCATTAATGCTATATCGTTAAAGACGAGTAATGGAATATTAAAAAATAAAACAATTTACGTAACTTTAAGTTTAATTAATAAATTTAAAATTGAATACTCCTGAATACGTATCTAGCACAAAGCCATAATTCGTTCAAACAGCTAGATACAGAGAGATATAAAATGGAATTCCGAATATCTAAAATGTTAGAGAAAAATGTTATTAAATTATTACGTGTATTTTAAGAGTACTATTGATCTACTAATACATAAGTAAATCTACATATATAAATATGTAGTTATGTTAGTAATAATGCTACTTAAACATTATTTAAACAAGTCTACAATTAAAATGATACGATCAAATCAAATATTATCTCAATATGAGAGATTGTTCAGATCAGAGATAAAAATTAAAAACGCTACAACCGCGCGAACCAGACAAAGGTGGAAGAAGGTTTCATATTCTAACCTGTTTGACAATCAATCTTGCGACCCGAGGACTGGCGAATGTGACGAAACCGTAGCACTTGGACACCCCAGCTCTGTCATAAATCACCCTTGCAGCGGTCACCGTCGCGAAACCAGAGAAGAACTTCCACAGGTCCTCATCGGTGGTGGTCAATGAAAATCCTCCTACGAAAATTCTATTGTGTATCACAGTCCCGAACTTAGGAGCGTCAGACGGCGGGAGGCTGTCATCTGTGTCTTCCTCTGGTGAATTTAGCAGGGCCTTTAACTTCTCGTGGGGGTCAGCACTTTTTCTGTTGTTCGCAGTGTTCTCTTCAACCATGTGAGCACAACTCGCGGAGTCACTCCTAATGTAACGCTTAGAATTGCCTTCCATTTTAATTTTAATTTAAAACATGTTCCCTTGTTTACTAAACTACAATTTTCTAGCGATAACTAAAACGACACTATCGAATGGTGAACGAGTACTGGCTGAAAGCACGTAATATCGATTTTTAAGCCCTCTATAGTATTCGTGTATAGATATTTGTGAGTTGCGCTGTACGCTACGCACCGACTGATTCCAACAAGATGTTGGTACAAGGTAAGATAAGGTTCTTGGTTAAGATTTTAGCGATACGCGCCTAAAAATAGTGCTTGAGCTATTGTCGCCCGCTATTTTTACTGTTCGAGAGAAGTGGGTCAGTTGAACGATGTTTTAATGTTTATGGTTGTTATCTTGGTGCAGTGTTGTTTATTTGTCATATACAGATGGCGGTAGTGAGGTGTCAAGAGATAATTAAATAGCCTAACTACCTCCTAAATTAAGCCAATAATAAAACATATAATGTATGTTAATATAAAGTAATTTTTACGACCTCAAAAAATCCCATTTTATACTATTTACCTAAGGTACTACCTAATTAAAGATATATTCATTGTAATTTACGAAATTTGCTCACGTTCCTTTTAATTATTATACAAAATAAAATAAAACTACACAGAAATTTATAACTTAAGTTAGATACTCTATACTCTTTTAAGAGGTGTATATATTTAAATCTTGATAGTTCATATCACAATTATTTTATAGATTTTTAATAAGATACTATTTACTCTGTGTAATGTTTAATATTTTCTGTTTTGCTTCAAAACTACTGTTAATAATTATTGTACATCATATAATTAATTTTTGCTATAGCAACATTTACTATTTCAGATGATAACTGACAATTAAGAAAGTTGACAACTGACATCTGTCAGACTGTGTTAACCGTTTTATATTTTTATATTATGGTTTTCATTTTGTATTCCATATTGCAAAGGAAAATTGTGGATTAATTTTGCATCATGTTCAATACATAGAATAAAACGATAAAAAGTGTATTAATGTGAATAAGCGATTACGGGTACCAGTTTTCGTCTTTTAAAGTTATCATCTCTAAATTGTGTCTACGAAAACTTGTTCTACTTATCATAAGTTTATTGCTTCACAGGGTAAGTGTTGTTTATTTATGTTGCATTGTTACAAAAGTATAACTTGTTTTATAATCAAATTACCGCAAGTTGGCAATTGCAAATATGAAATTAGTCTTGCGGAACTAAATATAACTTTCCTGTTTATTTGACTTCTTATACCTGAAAATTAATTAAATATTTGTAGGTAGGAGTTAAATAAAATACTAATTAATGATAGTAGTTGTAATTAATACTAAAATTTATTTTATATAGCGTGAAACTATTTTAAATATTTACGTAGTCCATTTCTTAAAACTTATTAATATATTATATTCTTATTATATTAAATATCTTATAGTCATTTTACATATAAGTAAATGTAAAATGTTGTGTTGGTTAGTCTTTTATTGTTATTATTATTTTCTATCGTAGACACCTATAGAATATGACCTGACCATTTCACCCATTTCCCCCTAGCAAAAGATTTTTGGTTTATCCAACACTCGCTGTGCCCCCTTCAAACCGTCCGGTTTGCTTGTACTATTTGTTCCACATTTCATTATTTTATATCATCTCCTGTTACTTCTTCTGAACCTTTTTCTTATTATGTATTAGCCATATACTCCAATACGCAGAGCCTTTAGTGAGTAGATGGATGCTTGTTTCCTCACTTTCTCTGCACTCTGGTTTATTTCTTAATAGAAAAATGTATTTTCCATTATAACTTTAGGAAGTACAGCCAAAGTAATTGGTAGAAAACTTAAAAAAAAAACCGTTGTTTTTTAGTTATTTCGAAATAACATATAAAAGTCTGAAAGCCCATTACCCCCTCGTGGGGCATGGGGCGTACACATTTATGTGTACGTTTCACTGAATCCTTTTAACGGGCAAGTTGTTGATCAGACTTCTGTGCCCTTAATTACTTATAGCTACCTCTTTAAAAACTCGAATATTCAACATTCTTATTTGAGAATTTATTAACTATCTAAATTGTGTGTATTTATCTGGTTGCCATGTAAGTGATAATTTAATTACCATTATGTGTTTAGATTAGACAGTTTACATTCAACTACAAAACGCAATGTAACTTACTCTGACTGAGTAATGTATGTTTTTTTTTATTTGGGACAGATGAGTTTAAGTAAAATATGCAATAAGAGTTTATTTAAATAAAACACTTTAACGGTTTAAAACGCGGTATATTACTTTAACTGATATATCACGTTAATGTAATGTGTACTACTCGCATAAACTATAGACAAGAGTTTATTTTTTAAGTAAAATATATATACTTAATAGATAGATGTAATATAAAAATAGATTAAATATGGTCTATGCACATTCTTCCCTTAAGATATATCTTTTTAGTTATCGTTTACTTACGCAATAGTTTACATTCGCGCTGCTACTAAAATGTGTCATAATTATAATTTTATAAGTTCATTACAACTTTTTCACAATATTTACATGTTTTGGTACTACTTGTTATCTGATAGGGACAGACTGAAAATCAGCGCTTAGCAAGCCTTGCTGAGCACATGCTGAGTCTTGATGCCTTTTAGCACAAAGTTAAAATTGTACTTTTTTTTTTGTATTCTTTTAGTTGTAAGGTTTCTTTTTTATTATTTATTTTAGTTGTAAATTACTTATGTACTTTCTGATTATTTTTTTTGTTTATTTATTTATACATAACTAAACCAGCTGAGCGGACAAACACTTAAAGGCATGAATTTGGTTGTCTAGAGTTTGAAGAAAGGTTTGTTTCTAATATATATGCAGAAATTCATGTAGAAACCTTTTAAATACTGTTTACAGGTGGTTAAATTAAATGCTTAATTTTTCATTCCTTTACACTGAAAGGTCAGTTAATTATAGTTGTATCTCTGAGATCAAGGCAACGGAGACCTATCAACAAGGTTGTCAGAGATAACCCCCCGTTCGTAGGACAGTGTCCTTATAAACAACGTTTTACTGTTCTGTTTACCACACGCACTGATAGGAAATGCATATCCTTTCTAATGATAACCGTATTGAATAACTGAGAAATAATGGTTCTTTTAAATAAAACACTTTAACGGTTTAAAACGCAATATATTAGTTAAACTTATTTGAAAATGATTTTTAAGTCTCCACGTGACCACGGCTGCTGCAAAGCATCCGAAACGTCGGGATGAAGTTAAAAATAATTTTCAAATAAGTTTAACTAATATATCTCGTTTTAAACCGTTAGTGTTTTATTTAAATGTGTACTACTCGCGTAAACTATAGACAGTATTTAATGGTTCTTTTGTTATTACGGATATGGTTCAGCGGTTGAAGTTATACTTAGTAGCTATGGACGAACATTTAAATCTGTTTTACAAGACTTATATTCGCTACAGGTCCGTATCCTCAAAGCAATTGTACCAAGATCGGTTAGGGCGAAGTACATAGGAAGCGAGGGGGGTTTGTTTGAGTACTGCAAGGTAATGAACGTTTTCAATAAAGTGAAATATTTTATTCTTTGTGAAGAAATTGAAAACGTTCCGTCGCTCAAGTATAGAACTAGACCTGAAAAGTTAAGGAAACTTGCTTATATACCCAGGTATGAAATGCCGGCAGTACATGTTACCTCTGTACTTGAACGACTTGGACAGTAATACGCACGACATGCTGTTAGATAGGCCGGATAGATGCAGGGGGATTTTAAAGAGCTTTTATAGACGTAATATATCTTAAGGTACCAAAGCCGGTTAGCATAAACCGTAAGACGGTTTCTTTACCGGTTTAATTATTGTAAAACAAAATTATAATGTTAAAGAAGTTAAATAAAATAAATAAATAAAGTACTAGAGTTAAGTTATGTGGCATCAATTGTGAGAGGAAATACTGTTTTTATTATTATTATTATATTACCCGCGACTTTGTCCCCGTAGAATAATTCTTTGGGCATAAAGACTTTACCAAGCCGCGACTTCGTCCATGTCCCGTCGTTCTTGCGAGTTAATCTTAAAAGAGCGTCCTATGTGATGTTTATTTTATTCATTTTTAATTTATGTGGTATTTAACTATGTACCTACTTAACGATAAGAAAATTATTATTTTGCGTTCCTTGCAAAGCAATTAATTATAATTAGCGTATATTAGCATTTTAAATATCGTGATTAGATGTGCATGTGTGATGTGTATGGTGGTCAATAGCTTTTGGCTCTACGTATGTTTATTATGACAAATTGTAGTCAATAAAAATTAACTTGATAACGTAATTGTTATTGTCGAGATAAATTGATTATTGTTTAAATATCCACGTAGTGTATTAATTTATAACTATCATATAATAAGACTACTAACTAAATACTGTCTGTAGTTTACGCGAGTAGTACACATTTAAATAAAACACTAACGGTTTGAAAGTCTCCCTATATACTACATTTATCGCATTACCTCACACGTCAGCAGTCCTAGGGTCCACCTGAAATTCAGTAAAGGGCCTTTTTCACTTTTGCCATCTGAAAGCTACTGAACCATCGCTCGGATCGAGTTATTTATGTTCTTAAGTCAAATTTGTTTGGTTAATTTACGGCTATAAATATTTGTCAATACTAGCTGTGTCAGCGACTTCGTCCGCGTAGCATAGTTATTTTGGGCATCCAAATTTGTGTTTAAGTAACAGCTTAAATTAAAAAAGATAAGGAAGGAGTTCTTATATTTTTTAATTTAAGCTGTGTTACTCACGATGTCGGTCGCGTCTTTCGTTCTTGCTAGATTATCTTAAAAGATAGACGTAGTGTCGCGGACATTTTTTTAGACTCTTAAAGAGTATGACTTCTTTCATACATATTAATTTTTGGGTATTATGAACCGTTTTGACAGCGTACGGATTGGAAATAATGAATAATTTTCCCCGTTTTTTTCCACATTACCCGGTGTTCTTTCGCTCCTAACTGTCACATCGCGATGCCTATAGCCTTCCTCGATAAATGCTCTAACCAACAACAAAATAATTTTTCAATTCGTCCTAAGTAGTAGTTCTTGAGATTAGCGCGTTTAAACATACAAACAAATTCTCCAGCTTGATATAGTGGTATAGATTTACATAATAATGTAAAAATATGATTGTGAATAAATACTGTTTTCTTTCTTTTCTTTTTTTTTAATTTTTCACTTGTTACAAATTTACGTGCCCTTGAATGGCTGTCTATTTTGAATTAATTAAGTTGCAATTTAGACCGGGTTTATACTACCAAGCATAATTCGCCGTTTATTTTTGTATAAAATTGTGGCTTTATATAGACTGTGTTAAATTCTGATCATTATTTTCTATTGACCTCGCTATGATTTCACAATTTAGCGTCTGCGCCATTTTGTACTACCTACTAATAGGCAAATCGCTTATTCACTGGGGGAAATCGTGGTGCATTTACAATCGAGGTATAAAATTGTTATTTAAGTTTTAAATTGACATACAGAGTACGCACGTGTATGCCTTAATAATTAAATGCGAGGGATTCGAATCCCTGTAAATTATTTATGTCCGTCAACAGAAATCTGATCTAAGTACTTGTGCGTAAATAAAAATGTATCCCTACGGTATAAATTCACATTAATAAATATTAAATTAACCTATTCAATCGAAATATTTAAGTAGGTACTCATAAAATATTGAAAAGAAAATTAACGGATAAACGATTGGTCACTCTGTAAGCAAATTTTTTTTGAGTAAAGCATAAATTCGGTATTTATATTTTATGTAATAATTATCGAATGATATAATATTTGAAGTAATATCAGTAGTTTACGAGAGTAGTAGACTATTACATAAACACTTTTAACGGTTTAAAACACGAAATTTATTAGTTTAATAATCACGTACATACGTGCATTGCGTCGAAACATTAGGCCCTAGCTGAAGTATCTAGTTAACTAATAAATTTTAGCGTTTTAAACCGTTAAAAGTGTTTTATTTTGATATAGTATGTGGATTTTCGATAACCTTGGAGTTTTTTGAATAAACTTACCTATGTTTGCAACCGGATTGGGTTTTTTTTATGTAGAATTACTTACTTTTTACACATGTAAAGTGCATAAATTGCTTTCGAAACCTCTATTACAAATTGATGCTAGCTGAATCCTGTTCTGTACATGTCGATCTATTAATATCTATGCGTCATATGAACTTGTTGCGTTTATGTTATGTAATTGTTTGAATACTTATCGGGATTGTCACTGTCATAAATGGTACTTCAAGAGACTTTTTATACAAAATTTTGGCTTCTAAACCAATACGTATACAATGAGATAAAATTCGCGGAATTGATATTTATTAGAGTAAGTCCCATCCGTGTCGTAAACTTTTCGATCTAAATAGATTTTTGTTTTATATAAAACTGGACCTCCTTGGATAGCAATACAGGTCTTTATTGTTTAACTCGACGTTAGTAACGCTTCAGCGATCGTGCGTGAGTGGGACTCTACCTTCTATTGTCGTTGACTTTGCTTACATCCCATCCCCTTGTAAAATTCAAACTATAGAAATTTTGCATGAAACTGTGTTTTATGTATATAATCCAGTATCTCAAAGTGTCTTGAGTGTAGTCAATGTAAGCCTAATGAGAAAATCACGATTTATGTTTGGATGATAATTGTGTGTTTGTTTACCAAAAATGCCAAGTTAAAAAAATACATTATAGATGGTGTAGTTCCCCTCAGTAGGAGGAGGGGGGTTTATACTGACGGTTTAAGTAAAACGCGATATAAATTAGTTAAACTTATTAGAAAATAATTTTTAACTACGTCCCGACGTTTCGGATGCTTTGCAGCAGCACCTGCTCACTCATATCGCGTTTTAAACCGTTAGTGTTTTATTTAAATAAGTACTACTCGCGTAAACTACAGACAGTATTTAATATATGTCGTGTCGTGTTCCAGAGTCTGATAAGAAGTTTGTGAGCACATGGGAGTCTTAAGTCGGTGTCAATGGCGGGAGGCGGTTGGCGTCGAAGCGCCGCGCGCTTGCGCACTCTGCGCATCTTGTTGAGGGACACAACTCGCGCGCTTCACGAAGTTCAAGATATATTGGCTTTCGGTGAGAGGTTTTGTGCTGTTCTATTACTCTGAATAGCTATATATATTTTCTTAATTAATTAAGGACCAACCTAATAAAGGCTTAAATTATTAAAGGACTTTCTGACTAATTTAATTAAAGGTATGCACAACGTTGCTATGAAGAAAATATTTGGATGTTTACTTAAGTGGGTAATTGAACTGACAAAATCATTCAAGATTTTAAAATTGAAAGTTGATAAAAATCAATTATATTGAATAAAATGAAATCAACATATATGTACTATTAAAATTTTACACAAAAATCTTAGATAAAAATGATTTTGAAGTACTTTACTTTATATTCGTTAATATACTTACTTAACGTCGTCAACACTGAAAACTATAAATCATTCGAAACGTCGTTTTATTTCTTTTTTATTTAATTATTAATATGATATATATAGATACATAAATAAACTACAGATACAACTCCATCGCTATAAGTGTATAAACAATTTTAACGGTTCAATATGCAAAATAAATAAGATAGGTTTATTTATCCGATCCGAAGTTTCGGATGCTTTGCCTCAACCGTGGTGAAGATGGTGTCCCTAATGCTAAAAATAAAATCTGCTATGCTAGTGCCATCTGTTTTCTGGATTAGTACTTTTAGAAACTAGTTAAATCTTTACAGAACTGACTCACAGTGTCTTTTTCTTATTTTGTGTGCAGTTTTTTGGGTAGGAAATATCCCATTATTTTAGTCATTTTTAACATAGCAACTCTAACAGATCCAGAAATAACGACAACAGTAGAACACATCGGCAACCAATCGACCAGACCAACTGCTCTTGTTATACTGGGTACCAGTGCTACTGCGAAGGCGCGACTGTTACACTGTATCCTGGGGCGACGTCTGCTTCCGGATCCATTGCCTAGAGGATGTCGTTGGGTAAGTTATAATGGTTTTGAAGACAACTATTTATATCAGGTTTATCTTTAACCCCTTGGTGGAACTCCATAAAAAATCTAGACAAGTTCCAGTACTCATTTAAATAAAACACTTTAACGGTTTAAAACGCAATATATTAATTAAACTTATTTGAAAATGATTTTTAACATTGCAGCAGCCGCGGTCACGTCGGGCCGAAGTTAAAAATAATTTTCAAATAAGTTTAACTAATACATCGCGTTTTAAACGGTTAAAGTGTTTTATTTAAATGTCTACTACTCGCGTAAACTATAGACAGTATTTAAAAACATTTTATTTAATTTTACAACTATTTTGAACATTTAGTAGAACGCAAGTAGTTATTTTATGCACGTCGTTAGTAAACTCCGAACACATTTAATTAGTATTTGCTAATTGTCTTTTGCAGTTACGTATTCAGTACGGGTCAAGCACTCAAGTGCACTTGACGCTGGGCACTTCAGAGTTCGAGCTGGTCGAGGAGTTGGAGTGCAATCGACAGCCGTGGGACACTTTGCCACTTCAGGTCAGTATCTGAAAATGTATCGAATAAGATCTTACTTCGGGACACAAGATAAGGGAATGTAAAAGTAGAGTTTTAAAAACTTGTTATTATAATAAAATCTCAACATCACACAGTAATCTAAGACGCAAGTAAAAAGTGATTTGAGTGAGCACCTGATAGCATTATATAAACTATAAATCTATATTATAGTTAAAATAAGATTATATCAAATAAACTTAAGTTAACAAGTTAATAAACTTAAGTTAAAACGCGATATATTAGTTAAACTTATTTGAAAATGGTTTTTAACTTCGGCCCGACGTTTAGACATCCTCCATCTTTAGTCTCCCCGTCACCACTGCTGCTGCAAAGCATCCGAAACGTCGGGCCGAAGTTAAAAATCATTTTCAAATAAGTTTAACTAATATATCGCGTTTTAAACCGTTAAAGTGTTTTATTCAAATGTTATATTTTTGTCCGAAATATGTTAAAAGGAAGGTAGCAATACAATTGCAATTCCTTGTTTCGGTTTTAGTTAATAGATTTCTGAATGTCCGAATCTAAAATAGGCCGACAGCGCATCTTATTACGATGTTATATAGCTGGGGTATTTCACCCTCTTCTATTATCAAATAATCATATAAAAGTCTTTAAAAAAAAGATAACTAATGCAATGAAAAATTTGAATTGAATTAAATCACGAATTATTATTACAATTTCAATATTTCCTTATAACTTTTCCAGGATTTACTTCGACAAGACAGTACAGATGTCACCACACTCCTGGAGATCGAGTTAAACAATTCATTTCTCAAAGATGGTCTCCGGATAGTCATACCACCAGATCTCGAGATAGACCCTGGACCGATCAGCTCCCAAACGCTCAAGGAAACTCACGCTGAATTCTATCAAAAACGAGATAGCATTTTACGAAACTACTCTCCCATTTATCTGTACGCACTAGATCGACACGGAAGGAATATTTTTAATGAGACTATCAACAGAATGTCGGTGTCGAAAAGCGATGAAGACTTTTGGACGACGTTCAATCTGTATAGCGTTAATAAAGTGGAAAAGGTGGAGAAGGCTGAGGAATTAGTGTGGAAAGAGAATCAGGAAGCGTCGGTTTTTAACTCCGAGGTGAGATATTTAATATTGCAAATGTATACTGTTTGTAGTTTACGCGAGTAGTACACATTTAAATAAAAAAACTTTAACGGTTTAAAACGCGATATATTAGTTAAACTTATTTGAAATGTCTCCCCGTGACCTGCTGCTGCAAAGCATCCGAAACGTCGGGCCAAAGTTAAAAATCATATTCAATTAAGTTTAACTAATATATCGCGTTTTAAACCGTTAAAGTGTTTTATTTAAGTCTGTCTTACTTTCAAAATTGTCTTTATAAATCGTTTTTGAAGTTAACCTTTCACATTCCAGAACTGTCTCGACTTCCAGCAAATCAAAGAAATCAATCCCAACTCGCAGATCCTTTTCGTTCTTTTCGCTGACAGCGAGTGTGAAGACCGGCGAATGGAAGTGAACGACGCGACCGAGTCGACCGAGTCACCTTATCGGAGTGAAGAGTTGCCGGAGTCAGATCGAGATTTGCAGAGAGAGGGGGTGTTGCAGTGAGTATTATTAAGGCTTTCGCGGCATTTATTTGTCGAAGAACTTTGAAGCGCTTGTTTGTCTAATGGTAATAATGTATACTTATTAATTAAGGGTGTTTTTTAACGTGGAGAAATCTTTTCGGATGCCCACCGCAAGAGCAAATAGGTTATGTCGGACTTAAACCGACTAAAACCCCACAGTAGAACCTCTGACACAGTAGTTTACAAATGCAAATAAAACACTTTTACGGTTCAAAACGCGAAATATATTAGTTAAACTGAGTCTCCGTGAGCCGCGGTCGCAGGCTGCCGCAAAGCATCCGAAACGTCCGGCCGTAGTTAAATTAATTTTCAAAAAGGTTTGACTCATATATTTCGTGTTTTGAACCGTTCTAACACAAATCTAAATTTGAAATGGTTTTAAAGAATATCAAAGATGTAAAAGCCGTGAAGTGTCGCGTGCCGGTTTCAGTCTGTGGATTCCCGAATATCCAAAGCCAAATTAGGTCGATAACGCATCTTGTTTAGATGATATGTGGCTGGCCTATTTTACCTTCCATCAAGTGATCTCCATCCTTGTAAGCCCAACTCTGGTAACAAAAAAAAACATTCAAACATTAATTTTCAGACGCGCAGAAGAATGTCCAGCAACGAAAGCCATGGAAATACGATCTCAAGAAGAAAAAATAGCGTTCATGAATGAGCTGCTTGATCAGTGGGAAGTTATATGTATGTATGTTTATATAGCTCTTATAGTTATTCGGTTGAAAATCCGAAAAATATTAGTAATCTTGTCTTTAATTAAATTAACCCCGATGTAAAAATAAATAAGTCAACTAATATATGACGCATTTTAAACCGTTAGACGTGTTTTATTTAAATCTATTCGCGGAAAATACAGATACATTTTGAGATATACATTTAGCTTAGTATAAAGTAAACACAAAAACCGAGAGTGTTTGTGTTTACTTTATACTAAGCCTTTCTTTTTACCTGTAGGTCAGGTTGCTTGGAAGAGATCGCTGCCTAGTCATAAGGCCGTCTTTTATTGATAAATTTTTCTTGTATTTTCTGTGATATGTACTATGAATAATTAAGCCGTAATAAATGAATAAAAACTACTACTGACATCACGAAGGCCAGGGTTCGCGTCCCGGCTTAGGAAGAATGTTCAGCGTCATCAATCATTACTTTTAGTGTAGTAATTATTAGAATACCAGAAAATTCGGTTTTACTAACAAATACTAGAATAAAAATGTTAAGTTTTTCTGCAAGCTAATCAATTTTTTTGTGGTTTCAGCCAATCCACCAGCAAAGCATCATGTCAAATCACAATGGGTGATCCTCGACGATGCAGATATACTCAAAAACATAGACAAAGCAGGTCCAGAGGTGGAGAAACGAAAGAAGGAGCCTGTCGCAAGAACAGTGAAGAGCAGAACTGTGCTTTTAAACAATGTGCTTAAATTCGCGACGGAGAGCGCTCAAAGTTCTCTGTTGGATCATTGCTCTGTGTTGAGTGAGGTGTGGTGACTTTTTTATGCGCTTCAAATTTTTGGTGACATATATTTAAGTTCATTCGCAACTTTTTTAGCAAAAATAGTTACGGGATTAGCTTTTAACGTTTTTAACATTTAAAAAGGGATTTATTTAACTAAGTAATATTTTGTAAGATTTTTAGGTTTAAAGAATTTATTTTCTCTAAGAATAGATTTTTAATATATTATTTCAGAAAAATTTTACCAATCAATTAAATTGTTTCAAAATGCTAGATTTTCGTTCGTTTGTTTATTGTTTTTTTGCATTCGTATGTTTTTTGCTGACTTAGATTTATAGTTCTCTTTTTTAACTGTTAAAAATAGATTCATTTAACAAAGCAATATTTTTAATACTGTCTATAGTTTACGTGAGTAGTACACATTTAAATAAAACACTTAAACGGTTTAAGACGCGATATATTAGTTGAACTTTGCAGCAGCCGTGGTTACGGAGAGACCACGGCTGCTGCAAAGCATCCGAAACGTCGGGCCGAAGTTTAACTAATATATCGCGTTTTAAACCGTTAAAGTGTTTTATTGAAAAGCAACATTTTTGTAAAATAAAATAATAACAAAATCGTTAAATTCTTGGATCTTTGTAAAAAATTTTCCATTCTTTATACGTTAGGCTTATTTGTTAAGAGTAAACACCATGGAGCGCTGTAGTTGTAGGTCCGAGTCTCATCATCATCAGGGCTGAGAGCATGAAAAATAATGTTTCATTATTAATTTTTCCAGATCCACGTAAAAGTACTCCAACAGCTGATTCTGTCGTCGTTCGATTTGGCGAGAGAGTTACAAGTTGTGCCCAAGAAGATACAGTACGTTGCCAAGCAAGAACAGCATTTGTACCAGGTATGTGTAAAATTGAGTTTTTACTTGGAGCATAATTCACTGACAACTACTTAAAAAAAACACTTTAACGGTTTGAAACGCATAAGCATTCGCATACGTATATCGATACTAGCTAATCCGGCAAACGTTATTTTGTTGTTTGTATTAATGAAACTAACAAATAATTGGTAATAATGCAAATTTCATAACTACAACTATAAACACGTTCTTGTGAGTTCATCTTTAAAGATGAACAAGACATGTATTTGTGTTCTTAAATAATTTTTAATTTTTCCATTTCAAGAGGAATCATTCTTTTACACACATTTTAAAATTAGGAATTCATTTATTTGAAATTTAAGCTCCCGTTATCAGATTGATCTTAAATTTAGAACACACATTTAATTTAGATGACAATACAATATTAAAAATAATAAAAAATATAAATTCAAGATGGCCGCCGATACAAAATGGCGGATAACATATTTTTCCTTAACCCCCTCAACATGGGTTTAATTTTCAATAATTGTTATTCTGTCTAAATTTAATAATTTCCACAGACTATAAATGACAAGTTCTCGGAGGGCGACAAGAAACAGGAATTACTGAAGATAATGCAAGAGGTTCTTCAGGAGATGAAGTATGAAATACACAATATGGATTGGAGTGTTGATGGTTAGAATTTCGTAGAAATAGATTGAGTAACGTGTGAGAGAGATAGAATTAGAGTATAGCTTTGTCTCTTTCTAGAATTTTGATAAAGTTACAGAAAGTCATAAAACAACTAGATCGGGAACAGTCAGTGGGAGTTGGGTTAATTGAGAAAAGGCAACTTATTTGGAGTATTACAGCACGGAGTCTTATATCGTTGGTTCGAGTCCGGCTCGTGTCCAATTTCGTCAAAACATGTACAATAATTATTTATTTCCATAACTATGTCTTGAAATGACAATTATATACGAGTATTTCTTAGTATTTTTCTAGTCTTGTAAGTGTTAAAACATTAATAAGCAACATTCAAATAAAACTATTTTAACGGTTTAAAACACAATATATTTTTGCAAAAACCGTGGTCTTGCAGTCACAATAAATATATTAATATATTTCGCATTTTAAAACGTTAAAGGTGAACGGCGTAATGGCGTTAATTAAAAAAAAACTCTAATTTCATCTTCAATGATTTTCTTAAACTGCAAAGTATAGATATAAGACACTGAACCTTAATACGCAGTTGTTAAGGTTGAAATTATATTGCGCAAGCGATGTACGTATCAAAAGGTCGAAAAAATTCGATGATGACCGGTAGAGACCGTCCTGCCCGTGTCGTAAAATTTTACAATCTATAATCTATTTTTAATTTAATTAATGGTGTCCATTACAGATCTCCCATGCCATCAAGATAGGCAGTTTATGGTGTCGAATTCAATATTTTACACCAACCGACATACACCCAGCATATCCATACGGTTGAACCAGATAAACCGTCCATATCTGAACCAAAGCGGTTCTCAATTAACGCCGAACGACTCGCCCATATCGAACAAAGGAAAAGATTTTGAGAGGACCGAGTCGAATCTTTTGAGCGAGGACAACGTTAATTTGTCGGACGTGGAGGAAGCGTTGTCGTACGACAGTTTTAATATGGACGATTACGATATCGTGACGTCGAATGAGGAAAGTTTCGGAGCTAGTCAGAGTTTTGGGTTCCAGGTAAGGATTGTACATACATATGTGTGATAAGCTGGTTAAGGCTTACCACAGATCCAAAAACCATATCTAGATCAGAAGAACCGTTTTTGATGTCGTACACAAACGCACAGAAAAACAGGAATGATACTAAAAATCATTTTTCGGGATACTGTCGTGTTGATAAAGGTCTCCTATAATGTTTTTATCATAATTTATCACTTATACAACGATCTTAGACAACGATCTGTTGCACTTTTATTATATGTATAGATTATAAAAAACAAGGTAATGCCCGTTTTTAATAGTAATTCAGGCCAATTAAGAACATTATACATTTTTTTTTATGATGGGACACATAAGCATGGTCCACATAAGCATGGTGAGGTGTAATACCCCAGACATAACATCTAAGCAAGAGGAGCTATCGACCTATTTTGGCTTTGGATATTCGGAAATCCACAGACTAAACCCGAAACGTGATATTAGCTTTTTCATCTGAACGGACGGAATTTCGATATTCCTGCCACCCATTTCATATCCAGATTTCCAGGCGGAGTCCAAAATTTGTTAAGGATTATTTGAAAATGATGGACCCAGTGAGGATCGAAGTCACGACCCGTTGATTATTAACCATACATTAGTAGTTACAGTTACCATTAGACCAACGAGCCTGTTCAATTGCTTATAATTCCCATGGTAATGTCCGCTTTTAATAGTAATTCAGGCCATTTTTGGAACATTATACATTTATTATAATATAAGATGAGAGCACTGTCGACCTATATTTCTTTTGTATATACACAAATATCCTTTGGATATTATATACATGTATTTTTATTATATTAATGGTACTTAACATTTATTAATATATCATATCCATATAATATAATTTCTCTTATCAGAATAATGCAGAAGAACCACTCAGCAGGACAATACCAATAGAGAATGAGAATGAGTCTGTCTCGCTCTCGCAAGCATGGCGCAGTGTGCGTAGCACGACATCCACCTGCTCAAATACTTCGCTATCCACCAAGCAAGCCTCGCTCGACGTCCAGAGAACAGGTACGGGTATTAAAATTAATAATTAATTAACTTTTATACATAGTAGTTTACGCAATACGCATAGTAGAAACGCCAAATATATTTCCCATCTTATTTTTAAATTTAGTTTAACCGAAGTAGGTGTACGAGCAGTACAAATTTAATTAAAACACAAACGCTTAAAAACGCGATGTATTTGTGAAGTTACTAAGAATTCAGTTTAACTACTTTATTTAATAATATTTTAACCTGCTAATTTATATTTAGCAGTCCTGCCCTCCGTGACGTCGGGGTCATAATTATAATAAATTAATATATGTCACATTTTAAACCGTTAAAAGTGATTTATTTAAAATGTATGTCTCTTTTGGAGTAAGAAACGCTAAAGTCTTGCTGTCTAACAATTAAAATATTAGATACAGTGTATGCAAATAAAGCACTTTCACGGTTTAAAACGCGATATTTATTATTTAAACAGATATGACCATTATTTTAACTACAACCACACGTTTCGGATGCTTTGCAGCCGTGGTCATGGGGAGACTGACTGACCCGTATAAGCTAACGTATGACTTTTTTTTTCAGTTCTATCAAAACTTAGTCACAAGATAAGTTTGAAACTAGTTAAGTTTGTGGACTGTTTGAAAGACACATACTTCGGCACACTACAAAGGTTAGTATTTCTTATCGATCTATATATATATATATATATATATATATATAGTATGCAAATAATTCGTTACCATATAATAGTGTTTAAAGGACAAAACTTGTTAGATATATCTTTTATAATTTAGATAAGTAACATAAAAACATTAAATACTGTTTATAGTTTACGCGAGTAGTACACATTTAAATAAAAACGCGATATATTACACCCCCCCCCCGTCACTACGTGCTTTGCAAGCATCCGAAACGTCGGGCCGAAGTCAAAAATCATTTATAAATAAGTTTTACTAATATATCGCGTTTTAAACCGTTAAAGTGTTTTATTTAAATAAAAACATTGTAAAGCTTTGAAAAAATATATAAAGATTAGCATTGGTAGCAATTTATTTCTAATAATCAACGCCTTGGGTTTGATCCCCACTAGGACCATCACGTTTCTAAGCAATTTATATTTTTTTGTAAACACGTTGGACTATCTCTGGAACTATGGCCATTTAATAGCCAATGAGTGGTGGGAATATAAAAAATACCGTCCGGGACACGTATAACAGATTAAATAGGCGTGAAGTTTAACCGCGTTTCGGTTTTGGCCTGGGTATCCAAATATCCAAAGCCTAAATAGGTCGACAGCGCATCTTAGTGCGATGTTATATGACAGGGGTATCTCCTATTAAGTAAACTCCATGGTTTTCTGTCTTACTTTATCATTAAAAGTAAAGAAAAACATCAACAACATAATTTTATTTACAAATTATATTGTTAAATTATGAATGTATTAAACCAGAACTGTCTTAGTTTTATAATTATATTTTTTTGTAATTTCAGGTGTCTCGAATCCTTAGAATCCTGCTGTCGCGAAGAATTGGGTGGGAGGCCAGCGAGCGAGGCCATGCGACAGGTGGTGTCCGTAGCACGGCAGGTAGATCTCCAGCCTTGCGCTTCCTTCTGTATGTTGCGAAGCCTCTTGGAGTCCTTACGAAGGTTCTTCCATAAGTGAGTTTATATCGTGATCGTCACCTTTATAAATTATAGCTATTACTTGGAACCCAAGGTGTCAGTAGTGTCCCATCGTTCTAAGATCATCTATATCTAGATAGATCTCTTTAGATCATTTAAAGAAAGAAGAGTAATTCTAAATAACACTTTAACGGTTTAAAACGTGATATATATTATTTAAACTTATTTGAAAAATATTTTTAACTACGGCCCGACGCTTCAAACCCGACCAGTTTCGCAAAATACCAACTTCAACGGAACAGATGGCGCTAGCGTAGCAATTATATTTTGACGTCAGAAACATCCTCCATCTTTCGTGGCCACGATTGCTGCAAAGCATCTGAAACGTCGGGCCGTAGTTAAACATAATTTTCCAAATAAGTTTAACTTATATATATCGCGTTTCAAACCGTCAAAGTGTTTTATTTAAATGTGTACTACTCGCGTACACTACAGACAGTATTTAGTAATAATTGATTATACACGTTTTCCATCTAGAACAACAGGATTCGCAGTAACGAAAATCCTGAAAGATGACGGTTTTGCACATTTCCCACTAGTTCTTCCCTCCTAGTGGATTCAACCTGATGCTTTATAGCTTATTACCATCCTCGTTAAATTCTCGAACCAAAACAAAAAAAAAAAATTCAAATCGAACCAGTTGCTCAGAATAGTGCGTTCAAACAAACAAACAACCTCTGCAGCTTTATAATATTAGTATAGATGTTATAATTTAAAATTTCGATTTTTCTGACCTGTCAATACACTTAATATCTGTCTAAACACATTTGGCCAGCATTGTAAATGATGACAACTTTTCCAGGTTACGTGTAGTAGCTGGAGACGCGGACGACGCCTGCTGTGTCCTAAGTCCAGTGTGGAGGAGACAGGTCGCTCTACATACGCTGGCCTCCTTGTCGACTCACAAGCTAGCTAAACTTATCTCGTCTCAGGTTTGTATAAGCCGGTTTTATGTTTAAAGAAGGTACTATCGAAGTACTAAAACTACAAATAAAGGTACTAACGATTCAATAATTGAATAATCGATTACCACTTTTGTAGATGGAAAACATATTTCCCTTAAGCGTGAAACGTTAACGATTATGACGGAGAAAGTAGGAGATCTTAGAGTTATTGGTGGTGTCATTGAATGGAACTAATAATAGTCGTCAGTGGGTTTGATTTCCACCAGATGCAACTTAATTCATAAAGTTTCGGGTTTGAGACTTGAACATTACATGGGTGATCATAAATAATGTATACAAGTGTAGCCTGTAGTTCACGCGAGTATTATTCTAGTTGTGAGTAGTAACCTATTTTAAAACGTCGGGTCGAAGTAAAAAAAAATCTAAAGAATATATATAGGAAAAATATATTATTTAAAATGTGTTAGATTTTAATTACAGATTCTCGATAGACTGAGCGTAGCCCACGAAAAGTATCAATCGGCTTTGACGTCGCTAGAGGGCGCTCTCACCAGTCGTCTGCATCATACTGAAGATGTGAAATTGACGATACGGAAAAAGTAAGTTGGTTTATACTGAAAGGCAAGTTTGTTATTAAAATGACCCGATAGACCCGATTAAACTAAGAAAGAAGAAGTGTGAATAACAGTGACCCAGGAAGAAATTAATGATAGATCTTCTTTATTGATACGTCCGAGTAAGTTTCGTCTTCACTTGGTACCTCCAACAAAGATAATACAGTCTCGTCGTTACCAGTATAAAATATTATTATTTCTTTTCAGATTTGCGCCATTGTTTGCCCGTCTTTGTCTAGAAAGTACTTCGATGTGTGACCTGCTTATGTATGGTGTTCCAGATTTAGGACGAGAAATCGGTATGCACTGAAATTTACATTATATAGCTTTACGACCAATAAATTTAATGGAAAAATCCGGTTTATTTTAATACTTACAGTTTAAACCGTGATATTTATATTAGAAACCTTTTTTAACTTATTTGAAAACTAAACGTTTCGGATGCTTTGCAGCAACCGTAGTCACGGGGAGACTCAAATAAGTTTAACTAATATATACCGCGTTTTAAACCGTTAAAAATGTTTTATTTGAATGCGTAAACAGTGCAGACAGTACTTAATCCATACTCTGTAAATTTTGTGGTTTACCTGTTCAGTTAATTTATTTATTTCAAAGAGGCTTATCAACTAAATACATAGTAAAAGCTTAATTAAAAAATAAATTAATATAACGTATGTGATGATAATGATGAAACTTGTTCTTTGTTTCGATTTTTGAAAAGAGAATGTGAAAGTAGTTGTACCACTTTTAAACTATCATAATCCCATTAAACTTCAATAATAGGCCGTGGACAGTACGGTGTTGTGTACGCGGTGCGCGGCTCTTGGGCCGGCATGTCACCCGTGGCTGCTAAATCTGTTTTGCCTGCCGATGACAGGCATTACCACGAGCTGGCTATGGAATTCTTTTACACCAGGTAAGATAATAAAATTTTGGTTGTCGGTGTAATGGTAGCAAAGTGTGAATAATAACCAACGGGTCATGGCTTCGATCCTCGCCGCGTCCAACATTTTTCTAATCGATTTATGATTCTTCTGAATCTTGTTGGACTTCATCTGAAATGCTGGACATTAAAGAGGCGGTAGGGATATCGAAATACCGTCCAGGTAACGAACCATCGTCCACAGATGAAAAAAAAAAATAAGCGTTTCAGTTTTGGTCTGTGGATTTCCGAATATCCAAAGCTAAAATAAGTCGACAGAACATATTGCTTAGATACTGTCTATAGTTTACGCGAGTAGTACAAATTTAAATAAAACACTTTAACGGTTTAAAACGCGATATATTAGTTAAGCTTATTTGAAGGTGATTTTTAACTTCGGCCCGACGTTTCGGATGCTTTGCAGCAGCCGTGATCACGGGGAGGCAATAATATAAAAATCATTTTGAAATAAGTTTAACTAATATATCGCGTTTTAAACCGTTAAAGTGTTTTATTTAAATCTTGCTTGGATGTTATTTGGCTGGGGTATTTCTTCTAGCATCAAGTGAACGTCGTACTTGTCTATCCATCTCTATCATAAACAAATCGTTGTGAGCGTTCGAAAAAGGATTTCCGAAACATACATATTCTTGAATTCTTTGTTTGTTTGTCTAATTTAGTTTGAAAACTTTAATTTTTTTCACATGAAGGCACTATGTAATTTAAAATTGACTCGGTGGTAGGACTCGGTAGCTAAATTGGTAGAGCAACAGCACGGAACGCTGACGATGCCGGTTCAAGTCCTGCCCGAGTCGAAAATTTTTTCAATTTATTTTCGATTTTTAGTTTTAAACATTGTTACAAGCTACTTTATTTATAAGTTTATGAGTTTGAAAATGTTATAAATGCAAAATACATTTTGTTATTAGGTCACTCTGCCTCTAGAAGCCTCATATTATACAGTTTACATAATTATAATTTTCTGTAATAATAGATAATTCGATACTTTCAATTTAGTTCGCTATTAAAATCTGCCATTTACATTATAGAAGTATTCCCCCCCACCCGCGGATAGTCCGTCTACTTGGCTCTCTAGTGCAGCGTAGTGGTTCCGGCCCAGGTGGTGCTTCAGGTGTTGGTGTCATTTTGGTCTCCCAACGATGGAGTCGGGATCTTCATACAGCTGTTCGTGCTGGACTAAACTTTGCTCAGCGCATGAGGATCGGTTGTGACATCGTTGAGGGTAAGTTATTCAGACATAAATTAAAAATCGATAATAAGTTAAAAAAAGTCATGACCCTGGCAGAACTTGAACCGGCATCCTCAACGTTGCTCTAACGAAATGAGCTACCGGGTCCTAAACGTCATCGTCGAATTGTTTCAAGCTACTAATACACGGACCTCTCGCGCAATATAATTTCAACCTTAACACTTGCGTATTAAGCTCGGAACTCGATTACAACCGAATATTGCTACTTTTATGCTGTATGTATTAAGAATACATATTTTGATTAATGTTACTTACTTTTTATATATATAGTGTATATATTTTGTAATATGTTTGAATTTATTTTGAAATTTGGATATTAAATGAGTGGCAAGAGTATCGAAATTCCATCCTGATCACGAACCACCACAGATAAAGTCGTGAAGTTCAATCACGTTTCGGTTTCAGTCTGTGGTAAGGTCGACAGCTCACCCTATCATATGTTATATGGCTAGGGTATCATCTTCCATCATCATCTATCATAATGAAACCCACGTAATGTTCTGAGATGCTATTTATCACTGTATACTGGAAAATTCGTGTCATAAGTAATTTCCTTGGCAGGTATCCGCTACCTACACTCAGTGGGTCTTGTACACCGCGATATAAAGCTGAAGAACGTTCTCCTTGACAACGATAACAGAGCTGCTCTATCTGACCTTGGGTTCTGCGCAGCGGGTGCTTTGGTGTCTGGATCCCTGGTCGGGACTCCGGTTCACATGGCGCCTGAATTGCTCGGTGGACGGTATCATAGCGCCGTCGATGTATATGCTTTTGGAATATTGTTTTGGTTAGTATTTACTGTAATGTTTATATAATATAATAGCTTACCCGGACGTTCATTCCATATTTGATTCATTTAGTTATTCAAACAAACTCTTCAACTTTTTAATAATAGTGTAGATAAGCACAACAATGTAACAAATGTACGTTTCCTAATATAAAGAGGTCATATTCGATAATGCTTGAAATATTTCGCAGGTATCTTTGTGCTGGTAATATTCGTCTACCCTCAGCTTTTGAGACTTTCCAGAATAAGGAACAGCTCTGGAGTAAAGTAAAACGAGGTACAAAAAACTACTTATTTTTTATTTAAAACTAAATAATTACTTTGCCTGTTAACGTATGCAATACTCACAGTACAATAGTACATATTCCATACACAATTTAAATGCTCTGTTCTTGGTAAACTTATTAGACTTATAAATATTTAAATTGCAAATAATAATTTAAAAATGTTCTTAGTTATTCTAATTAATTGTGTAGACGTAAATTAAATATGACATTTTGTCCAATTATTCTTTTGGTCCTTGAAGCCGGATACAAGCTAGATTTACTTTAACTTTTTACGATTTTTCAATAGGTCTACGACCAGAACGGTTACCACAATTCTCGGACGCGTGTTGGGAGATTATGGAGTTGTGCTGGGCTACAGAGCCGTCGCAACGTGCGTTATTGGGTGACATACAGCCTAAAATAGAGGCGATCCTTTGTCAAGCACTGAGCGAAGACCAAGAAGTTCCACACCAACGTATTTCGGTATCGGAAGATGATAGTCTGAACATGACGGGACTTAGTTAAGTTTTGAAATATTGGACAATATTTGTATACAATCAATGGAATGGAACTATTCGATTACAAGAGTACAGTTTGTTCTAACGTGAATACCATCGTGGGTACTATTCGAGCCGGGTCTTACTTCTTTGTAAAATACTTTCAAATTGTTCTCAACTGATGAAACCAACTGAAAATATGGTCCTTACATATCTGAAACCCTTCTAAGCAACTACAGGTGGATACCGCGTTTCGGGTTTAGTATGTAGAATTTTGAAAGTCCAAAATAAATTTAATTATTAACAAAATGAAGTCATAAATATTTCGAATATAAGTACAAACAAGTAATAAATTTCGAAAAATTGTAATTAAGGTTTTCAAGAGAAAGTACTCTTTAAATTCGGTGCTAAATTGAAGAATTTATAAAATTGTAAGTTTCAAGGAATTGTACCATTTAATTATAGAATGTATTGTCGTTCTTATTTAGTTCTAAGCTTTCCCTTATGTCTGCAATTATGTGATATTTATATAAGTATTATAGTAGAGAATAAAACTATGAAATGCCTTTAAAATTTATTTTGGTTTTAAAAATTATGACTCATTTTAGATGCATCTGGCGCAATATCAAATTACACTTGTCATTGTCTTATATAAAACACTCTAACGGTTCAAAATGCGAAATATATTAGTTAAAGTTATTTAAGAATTATTTTAACGACGTTTCCACGACGGTGCAAAGTATCCGAAACGTGGGGCCGTCGTTAAAATAAGTTTAACTAATATATACCGTTACAGTGTTTTATTTAAATGTGTACTACTCGCGTAAACTACAGACAGTATTTGTCATATTGCTTTTCATAATTTTATTTAAATATGATCTCCGAAATTGTATGCTATAAGAACGTTAAGATTATAATGTTAATAATATAACACAAATAATAATGTCGATTGATTGGCATTTGTTTTATTAACGCCATCTCTGAACTAATGATAGTAAATAACTGTTATTTAAAGAATGTTATACGCATGCACATATTTGAAAATAAGTATGTATGTTCCTTTGTAAACTTTGCAACTGTAAACATTATCTTTACAATAAAGTCACGATCGAGCTATGTAAATCCATCAATTTGTCATGTCAGTCCATTTTGGACGTAACTCCATTCTGTCATTTTAATTACAATATTTGTCTCGACATTAGAAAATGACAATAATACAATCATTTAAATAAAACACTTAACGGTTTAAACACGATATAAGCCAATCTGGAATATCGAGATGAAGTTAGGTAACTGTTTTTTACGCGTTTTAAACCGGTGGAAGTGTTTTATTCTAATGTGTATATAAACTATGAATTATATATTTGTTCCATAATTACCTCAGGATCAATAATTTTTTTTCGTATTTTTTTTAAATATTTTAGGCGTTTTTAATAATGAAGTTTAACTGAAAACTATACTATACTGCTTTGATACATAGAGTTAGTAAATACATTTTTACTATATTGTTGTATTTTTATAAACATGTTTAAAAGCGATGCATTAAATTTTACATTTAAAGAATTGTTTTTATTCATTCTAGTTGGGTACCTACTGCAATAAATAAGAATTATAATAACATATGAATGAAAAATATAAACTAACCATTACAGTTCTCGACGTTTTGATGTATTTATATAAATTAAATATACCCCGGTTGTAAGTTCAGTGCCCGGCTTTTTTCAATGTTATATTGTTTTATTAAATTTGAAACACTGTAATTTCTGTACAAGTCACGTTTTATTTTTACCATTTATTTTCAATTCACAGAAAGCATTGTCATAAAAAGTAGAGGACGCCACAAAAATAAATTATCGCAAATTGCCCATCTTTACGATATTTCTAAAGATATAAGAATCTTCTATATAATCGCATTTCGGTTTCATTTTGTGGATTTCCGAATATCGAAAGCCAAATAATTTTTTTTTTAATCTAATAATGTTTAAATCTACACTAATATATAAAGCTAAAGAGTTTGTATGTTTGAACGCACTAATCTCAGGAACTACTGGTTCGAATTGAGAAAAAAAATTGTGATGGTTCGAGCATTTATCGAGGAATGCTATTGGCTATGGTGACTAATAGGAACGAAGAAACAACGGGGAATGCGATAAAAACGGGGTAATTTAAATAAAACACTTTAACTGTTTAAAACGCGATATATTAGTTAAACTTATTTGAAAACTGATTTTTAAGGAAGTCTCCTAATTATTTTAATAAACTAATTTACTGAAGACAGTGGACAGGGGAGGTCTCCCCGTGACTACGACTGCTGCAAAGCATGCGAAACGTCGGGCAGAAGTTAAAAATCATTTTCAAATAAGTTTATCTAATATATCGCGTTTTAAAGCGTTAAAGTGTTTTATTTAAATGTGTACTCGCGTAAACTATAGACAATATTTAAAAACGGGGTAAATTATTTATGCTTTGAGTTTCTGTTGCGTTGCGAAAACGGTTCAAGATTAAAAAAAAGTCCGTAGCTGTATATTATGTCTATCTTTTAAAATAAACTTGCAAGGCGATGGGACGCGGATGAAATCGTAGGTAAAAGCTCAAATTTATACAGTTGAACACGAGGTTTGCAACAACAAACAATACTCAAATCAACTATTCTATGCGGACGAATTCGCTGACTCAGCTAGTGTTAACAACCATCCTACCATCAAGTGCTTGTCTGTCCTTGGCTATTATAAAAAAACACTCTCAACTAATTCAATCGTCAAGTATAACGTGGCACTAAGATTTGCGATATAAAAATACTAGAAGAAAATTTCGACGTCTGAATACAGAAAACAATTGTCTGGTTTTTATAAACCGAGTGAATAAAAGCCTAGGTTTTCATTAAATCTGCCTCGAATTTGCATGCATTATTTAGTAAGAGCGGACGCGGCTGAATCTAAATACGGGTATTATGTAAATGGGGCCCTTTCACTGATATGTGGGTATTCAGAAAAAAGGAAGCATCAGTCATGAAGTCGGGCCAATTGAGATGAGATGAGATTTAAAGCCCGACGCGGATGAATATCGCGATAATAATGCGGTTAGGTTTGAAAGTGCTTTAAGGTGATTCTAATGGCTGTAGGTCGAGGATCGTTCAACTAAACGGAAAATATTAATCTTTGTGCAAATGGTTCAAGATAACCAATGATGTCTGAAGGAATGATTCCTCTTGAAATAATCTAATATCCGTGATAGTATGTCTATATTTTAAGATTACTTTGCAAGAACAACAAACGCGACCGACGTCGTGGCCTGAATTTGAACTTGTGACGAAGAAGAGGTTTGCAAAACAAATTTGGATGGTCAATTAAACTCACAGAAGGTTTTGAGTAGTTTACGCGACAAGCACATTTCGATAAGCATTAAACAGCTGAAAACGCGAAACAAATAATCACCTTATTTTTACTAGTCCGAGGACGGACAACCACGGGGCTAACTCGACGGATGGGGAAATAATCTTCAAATGAGTATTGAAGGAGCCTATAGGGATGTGTTGCCTAGCATTCCGGTCACCACCATCGAGTGAAAGTGTTGTTTGTCCTCTTTTATCGTAAAAAGGACACTGACACAAACTGTCCAATCATCGTTACTTAAAAATCAAAAAACCTAACCTTAAATGGATGACCCGAATTCTTGGGACTTTGAAAACAATCTACCCTCGATAATAAGATGCGGGTACTTGGGACTCGCCCCTAATCGCGCACCGCCCGCATCTGATCTCTTTATTAGCTTAAAGAGACACGCGGAAAAACCCTCAGCGGATTTCATAGTCTTTAATGAGCTTTCGAGAATAAATTTTCCTTTAGTATCACTTAAATATAGATGTGAAGTATTGTCTGTAGTTTATACAAGGATATTAGAGGTTCCTTTCATTTTATGTACGTTTTATGTATACGAGTCATTAAAAATCACATATTTTTATTGTTAATTCACTAAGGGACACAGAGAAATTTGTAAGACAGGTTTGGTATTTCAAAAGCTAAGCAATAAGTCAATCTTGAAGACTCTACAGTCTTGAATATTGACGTTATATTACGTACACCTATATTTAAATAAAACACTTTTTAACGGTTCAAAAATGCGAAATATATTGATGAAATTATTTACAATTTATTTTAACGTGGTCAATGGGGATTAGATCGGATGTGGGAGCGGGGAGGTACCACGCTGCAGTCGAAACATTCGGTTGCTTTGCAGCAATTAGTTGTTTAGATAAATGTTAAATAAGTTAACTAATATAGTTAAACAAAAAAATCAGTAAAGAGATATGTTAGGTACGTTTTAAAAATTGAACATGTATTCAGTGTTCTACAGCTAAAAGACCAGACCTGGCTAACAATCCTCTGTGTGTCTATTATGAGACCGAATGTAATCAAGAGTTTTATCACATAATTTACACAAAAATATAAATATTAAATAAAATATAGGTACATCAAGAGAAAGAAAATTCCAATATTATTTCATAGTTAATATTTGTACACAAAAATCTATGCTAGTGAAGAGAACTCTCGGTTCCCCTACTAGGTGCTAGGCAAACATATGATGTGTCTGTTTGCACCCTGCCTGATCCTCTTAGGGAAAAATGGGATTTTACACACTTATTTTTTGTCACTTAAGCTAGTGTCAACGTTTATAAAACACAAAAACTAAACTCGGAATTACGTTAGCTATGTGGCAAATAAATATCAAAGGAAGAAATGTTGAAACACAGTACAACAGCTGTTCGTACAGTGACGGGATTGGTGCAAAATTATACGAAAGTGAGAACAAGTGAAAAGAATTGAATAAATTGATACACTTCTGTTCAAACAAACCTTAGTAACTTGGTTTTGCGCTCGTTAGAGCCTATCCAATCCTTGATGTACGAAAATGTAGATATGTCTTATAAACATTGTCTTATTTAAGTTAAGAAGAAAAGTGAATTTAAGTAAGAACACGATTACAAAACCCCCTGAATCTATCCTGAAAACAGACACAGAAATAAGTCTA